AAGAAGAAGAAGAGGCAGAAGCAGAAGAAGAAGGAGGAGAAGAAGAAGAAGACTTGGATTGAAAGAAGAAGAAGAAGAAGAAGAAGAAGAAGAAGAAGAAGAAGAAGATCTGGACTGAACGAAGAAGAAGAAGAGGCAGAAGCAGAAGAAGAGGGAGAAGAAGAAGAAGATTTGGATTGGAAGAAGAAGAAGAAGAAGGAGAAGAAGAAGAAGGAGAAGAAGAAGAAGATTTGGATTGGAACAAGAAGAAGAAGGAGAAGAAGAAGAAGATTTGGATTGAAAAAAGAAGAAGAAGAAGAAGAAGAAGAAGAAGAAGAAGAAGAAGAAGAGGAAGAAGAAGATCTGGATTGAACGAAGAAGAAGAAGAGGCAGAAGCAGAAGAAGACGGAGAAGAAGAAGAAGAAGAAGAAGTACTGTGGACACAGCTAAGGCCAGGGAGAAAGCGAAGATGAAGAAACCTGCGGGAAGGATGAGGAGACAAGGAGGAAGTGGAAGGAGAGTTTCGTCGTGCGTTGTGGATGCCGCGTGTTGAATCACAGTGAAAGAGAGAGGAAGGACAGGCAAAGAACACGCCGGGAGAGGAGGGAGTTTTTCATTGCACTGCATGTAAGATGCATCCGGTTCGGAGAAGAGAGAAGCAGGGCAAGAACACAAGGACAGAGAGGAGGGACACCCCATCGTGTCATGTGTCGTAACCGCGACAGAAAGTAAGTCAGGAGAGGAGGGACTGTCCTGCCACATGTCTGGGCGACAGGAATTGGAGGCGTCTACGTAAAAGTACCATGCATGTAGTCAAGAGGAGGAGGAGGAAGACAGAAATGAGCTTGCTGCTATGGCAATCATGTGCCACATGGCACATGAAGACGAACAGGGAGGAAGGAGGGAGAGGTGGAAAGGTGGAATAGAGGAGGCAGGGTTGCATTCCGCAATGTGTAAACCGCATCGTCGGCCTTCACTTAGCGCTTGCTAGACCGAGCAGAAGATAAGGGGTGGGCTACCGTCTTCCCCCGAATAGAACATACCGCTGTTATCACTGTGTCTAGACTGAAACTTGCCCCAAATGCAGGCAGGCATAATGACCAGACGTTCTATTCGGGGGAGGACGGTAGGAGATAACATCATTGCGCCAAGTGGACATTGCCAAATATAGCAAACAGGAGGAGAAGAATTGACGTCGCGCCACGTGGCAGGCACAATTTGGGGGGGGTTACCCACGAGGTAAACGACGAAAGAAGAACAAGGGTGGGCTCGTGGGTGTGATGATTGGCCGCACCACGTGAACGGTGGGTTGGGACCAGAGTAGTAGTAGACGAAAGCAGAAGGAGACATGAAGACCCGTGCGCCTGCCATGTGGCGCGGCTGTTCCACCATAGGACGTCATGCAAGTCAACGTCGCGAGGAGGAGGAGGAGGAGGAGAAGCAGTTTCGGAGTTCGAGCGCCCACTTCATTCGCTGGCCTTGAATGTTTGACGGACTAACTCAAGTCCGTCGATTTAGGCTCCTTCCCGTCTGCTGATTCACTTAGTTAGGTACTATGAGCCCTCTGTCCCATTCGACCTGAATGGTTCACCGGTTCCACCAAATGCTCTCATCCCAAAATGGGATCCCAACTGTCAGCTTGGACAAGAACCCAGATTACCAGCACCTAGTACTTCCACTAAAGCAGAACTTAGAAGAAGTAATAATGATGGTGGTAATAACCAAAAAGTTCAAAAGCTGATATTGTTTAATCGTGGAAAGGCGATATCAGGCACTCCAATTAAAATAGGAAAAACTAGTTTCCAAACCCACCTATAAGAGCAGGAGCAGGCATTACCATAAAGAGTAGGATAAGATAAGATAAGAGAAGTAAGCACTGCACTAATAATGTGAGGTCACTTTGATGACGCTGGATGTCACAAAATTCGAAAAAAATGCTTTGTTTTTTCTCTCCTCCGAACTGTACGTGCAACTTCCATTTCATACGGCTCTCCAAGTAAATCTTACGAGGCCGTACTCCCCTATTAAGATTCAGAACTTCGGAGGAAGAAAAGGAGGGAGAGGGGGAGGAGGAGGAGAAGAAAGAAGAAGAAGAAGAAGAAGAAGAAGAAGAAGAAGAAGAAGAAGAAGAAGAAAAGGAGGAGATCTAGGAGGAGGAAACGAAGAAGGAGAAGACATGTCAATCTTTGAAGGAAGGAGAAGGCGGAGATGACTGCAGTGGGAAGTGGGGAGAGCTCAAGCGAGCATCATGACAGGAGTGTCGCTATTCTGAGTTGGAGGGTTACTAGTAGAGGAAGACATATATCAAATGGCAGTCCATTGACCTTTGTTAATCTGTCTAATGCAATTGATGCAGCAATGATTGATTGATTGATTGATTGATTTGATTGATTTGATTGATTTGAATGATTTGATTGGTTGATTTGATTGATTGATTGATTGATTGATTGATTGATTGGGTGATTGGTTGATTGATGGACGGATGGGAGAAGAAGAGAAAAAACACCCTGGTCACGTTACGTTTGGAAATTCAAAACCAAGCCCCCGGGCAGAGTGCACCTCAGCTGATTGAAAGAATGCCCACAAGTGCATGATCTGCACCTGGACGTGCATGTGCCCAGGGGCATTGTGGCCGGGCTGGTTCGGACTGAGGGATTACTTCTGTCCTATACATCCCCAAAAGCGAAAAGCAGGCAAGAGGACGAAAAGGGAGGCAAGCGGGAAAAAAAAAAAGAAAAAAGGGAGGCAAGGGGAGGACAGGGCAAGGAGAAGGGAAGGGGTGATTTGTTTCTTACGTTCCACAGACATCAACAATTTTTTTTTTTTTCCTCTTTTTTTTTTTTTTCCTAGGCCATTTCTTATCGTTGCACGTGTGTCATCATCCGTCATTATGCAGGGGCCTGCTAATAATACAGTAATACTAATTATAGTCTTCTCTCTGCATCGCTCAAAATTTCAAATTTTTTTTTTTTTTTAACGTACGTCTCCAACGACCAAAATTCTAGTTTGGAAAACAATGGCAGTTTTTTTTCCCTTTTTCCCTTCTTCCCTTTTTCCCCTTTTCACCTTTTTCTCTTTTTTTTTCTGTTTTTTTCCTTTTTTTTTTCTTTTTTATGAACCAAAATTCGAGTGTGGGAGGAGAAGAAAAAAAAAAAAAAAAGGCAGTTTGAAAAATGGGACGTCTCTCGGCCGGTGATAGCGTACCGTTGGGTGGGCACAAACAATAGTGTCGAGGGACGCCGGGGCCAAGTCCCACTAGCAGCGTTGAGCTACCTCAACGCCTGAATCTAAACGACGTGCAGTTCAGGAAACTCAACACCATTTCTGCACATCTCCGCAAAAGCGTCCAGATTCAGGCGTTGAGGTAGCTCAACGCTGTTAGTGGGACTTGGCCACCGGGCTCAGTTCCCGGCTTGAATAAAAAGGAGGAAAAGACGTTCAACAAGAAAAGAAAAAAAAAAAGGGGACGTTTTTTCCTTTTCTTTTTTTTTTTTTCCTTTTTCAGAGTTTTTCTTCCTTTTTTTTTCTTTTTTTTTCCTTTTTTTTTTTCAATGAGATTCTGTCAACGGGATGCTGGATCCAGTTCGTTTTCTTTCTCTTTTTCGTAAAAAGAAAACTTGCACATTTATTATAGCATGGATGAGGCCTGGCACGCATTGCTCTCTGGAGTCATCTGAGAGGGGGGGGAAGGGGGGGGGAGGGTGAGGAGGGAACCGGCGCAACTTTTGCAGGTGTCGACGGTTGGACTTTCTTTTTTGCTCAAAACAAATTCAGATTGCCAAACAGTTAAGTCGAGATTAAAAAAAAAAAAAAAAAAAGGGAGTCGAAGCCGGAGGTTGGACAAGGTCCACGGCCGAGGTCTCGCTAGCAAAGAGGAAACTGGATGTGTTTTATGCTCGCTATTTCTATCATCCAGCATTTTTTTATTTTTATTTAATTACGTTTTTTTTTTCTTTTTTTCTTTATTAAAAAACAAAAACACTATATTTCTTCTCTCAAATCTTTCATCATCTTTCAAATTATTCTTTCAATTCACCTTCACTACCCTCACCACCAGTACTCCTAAGGCTTATACAGGGGACCCCCCCTGCAAACATAGCTTTTATTGTCTCCCTCCAGCCATCAGATGAGATGCATGTTGCTCCCCCACGCCAACCGTGATGGTCGAGGAAGGGGTGGGGCCGCCGGTGGGGGTCCAGCTAACGCAAAGACCGAGCATTGTGCTAGTAGCTGCGCCTCCCTTTTCCCCCTTTTCTCTTGCTTTTTTTTTTTTTTTTTTTTCCCGTCATCCTTGCGCAGGGGCCACGGTAATCTTCTTTATCTGTATCGTTGCAATTTTAACGGATGGCCCGAAGAACGACCTTTTTTTTGGGTCCTCCTATAGGCCCAGCATTTTGTTGGGCCTATAGGAGGACCCAAAAAAAGTTTGAAGGTCCAGCCATATGGTTCAGCCTGCTTGTGGAAAAGGGAAGAGCGCACGTGGGCGACCGCGAGCACGCAGAAACGAAGAAACAATGTCCGAAGGAAGGAGTAATGCACATGCTGTACCCAAAGTGCCACATGTCCCGCCATCATGCCTTGTGTCTGCCTGTGGTGATGATGATTATAATGATGATTATAATGATGATGATGATGATGATGATGATGATGTGTGCGCGTGCATACAAACCGTGCTGGCCCATGTCTTCTGCTCTATCTGCATGTGGACCTGTGCTCTAACGTGTGTACGTGTGTGTGCATGTGCGTGTGTCCTGTGTCTGTGTCGTGTGTCGTGTGAATGTGCGTGTGTGTATGTGAGAGAGAGACAGAGACAGAGCGAGACAAAGAGAGAGAGACAAAGAGCGAGAGACAAAGGACGAGATACAAAGAAAGAACGAGAGACAGAGAGCGAGCGAGAGAGAGAGAGAGAGAGAGAGAGAGAGAGAGAGAGAGAGAGAGAGAGAGAGAGAGAGAGAGAGAGAGAGAGATTCAAACTGCCAGCTGGATGGGAATGGATAAGGTTCAGGTTTTTTGAAGAGCAAAATTCCGAAGAGCCAAGGCGATAAGCAACTGTTGGCCAAAGCGGTCATCACCTTGCGCATTAATGATACACCTGAGGGCGTCCTCTCTCTCTCTCTCTCTCTCTCTCTCTCTCTCTCTCTCTCTCTCTCTCTCTCTCTCTCTCTGTGCAGCAACTCAAGCGATGGAGCCGCTCCCTCTCCACACACACGTATCACTTACCACCATTATCTACTTCTCCTGCACTATACAACACACACACACACACACACACACACACACGCGCGCGCGCACTTACGCACTTGCGCACGGACTTAAGCATATACACCGTGTCTGTCTAGTATCACTGTCATTCATACAAACCCGCTCCGCTCTATCTTAGTCACACTCTGCATGACATTGTACTACACACATCACCGCCCTTTGGCCAGCGCCTTCTCGGTGTCATCCACCTCTTGGAGGATCCGATCCTTTCGCTTCGCCGGGATGGGATAGCCAATGCCGAAGCTGTTGTAATGCCCAGAAATGGCATTCAACACGGAGTACATGTTACTGAAGGACGGTTTTCCCGCCACTTTTTTTTCCCGCCGGTACTTGGCTACCCAATCAACGGACGCAGCTTTGAGAGTCGCCACCGCGTCAGGCTTTCCCGGGTCCGTTTTATCCAGATTCAATGTATATCGAATCTTGTCGATGACGGCAGTAGTTTCTTCGGCGTACCTTTCTTCAAGCGACTTCGCCTCAGCGGGCAAGGCGGGGGCCATAGCCAGAAGCACGGCAGCCGCCATAGCCGCAGAGCTCGCAGCTGATAGCGTCTCTCTGCGACTGATGACTCCCTCTCTCCTGTGCGTTGACTGGGTCTCCTCCCCACCCGTCCGTGTGCTGATGGACGCTGAGCATGTCGGCGGCTGAGACGGCGGGGAGCTCGTGGCTATGGCGGATGCGTAACATGGCCCTGTCCTCCTCGTCGACACAGCGCTTCCGCCGAGCAGAGCGTTCGACGACAGGATGCCCACCTGCTGCCTCAAGGTAGAAGACGCCATCGCTGTCGAGGCCGCCATAGCCTGGTCAGCTTCGAAGTAACAGACTGGCTTGAACAGATTACGTCGAGGAGATAGTGAGCCTCTCTTGGCCCACACAGAATCGAATCCGAGTCATGTCACCCCTCCAACGTGGTGGAAGGGTGATGGGCCTGAGTGGTAGACACTCACGGAGGTAGGCCTGGCGGGAGCGGGTGTGGGCCAATGAGAATTGAGAATTGACGACAGGAAGGGTGGGTGGAGGTCTTTTTTTTTTCTTTTTTTTTTTTCCTCATAGGTGGACGGAGGTCTCATATCGAATCGCCGGTGGGCGACAAGGCCCTTTGGGGCCTCGTCCCACTACCAGTAGTCCATCCCGAATCGGGATGTCTGCAGTCTGCACTTTATCAGCCACAGGACCTCCTCCGTGCCGGCATGGATTCGAACCGGCTCCGTCAGCCTCAAGAGCCGAGTCTCTTAACCACTACAGCCATGGCACGGTGTACAAAAGTGGATCCATGCCGGTTGTGATATCCACCCCTGCATGGCTGTAGTGTCCTTCAACTCACACACACACACACACAACACCACACAAGGCATCCGCCACTCAGGTGCATGGCTGTAGTGTCCTTCAACTCACACACACACACACACACACAACACCACACAAGGCATCCACCACACAGGCAATAGTCGCACACTCCGCTCTCATCCAGCACAGCTGCTTATCCAACGGTTTTATCCACGGGCCACCACATCCAGGTATAATTTCTGGGTTGGTTACCCGGTTAGAGTACAATCTGCACTTTATCAGCCACAGGACCTCCTCCATGCACGCACGGATTCAAACCGGCGCCCTCAGCCTCAAGAGCCGAGTCTCTTAAACCACCAGTACCTCGCTTAGCTATCGGCCGTGGGCCTTCCCGTATACGCGCCGCAGCCTTAGGGGGGTCGGCCAAGGGAAGGCCCAGTCGTAGCCAGAAAGTCGGGCCCCGCTTCTGTAGGGACGACACAGTAGAGGGGGGGGGGGGGGGAATGAAATACACAAACGAAAAAAAAAAGAAATACACAGAAGGAAAGTCGTGCGGGAGAGAGAGAGAGAG